TCACTGAATGATTCAGTAAAGGGCTGGAAAACATACTGGCCTGCTCTGAAATGTTAATTACAAGTTCTTTGCCGTTTCATGCCAATGTAAATGGAATGAATGGAATTGCAGTGTCATATCCTGCTCTTTGTTCCCATCCTTTCACACTGGGTCAGCAGTGGGAAGGTTTCATAAAGCTGCCATAAACCGAGGTTCTTCCCTGCCACGAGTCCCTGCCATCTGCTCTTCATATGATAGTAGGGATGAATCCAAGGAACAACAGAGCTGCCATTTCCTGGCAGCCCCTAGTACAAGGCTTCCCAAATGCTGCAGTAATTCAGGGTATGTACCCCAGAAAACTCAGCCACATTAGATAACTAATCTAGTGTTCTAGTGTAATCAAACTGCTAATATTGGATCTTACCTGAGCTGGATTCAGCTTCCTTACTCGTAAGAACAAAGCTGAGGCAAGACTGGCTGTGGGAACTGGTCTGAATGCAGGTGTGTAGAATGCATATTTTACAAATAACTATTTCTAGAGTTTAACATCTTTTAAAAATAATAAAATACAGACTAGGCTACATAAACCTTTATAACCCTTCTTCATCTGTCATAAATGATACCCTGATACAAATTCAGATCTTTCAGATAGAAGACAGAGAAAATTTATTTTAAAAAATATTTTATACAGGTCACCCTTTGCCATAGTGCAAAATGTGTAGGAAACTATTAGATAACTTGGACTGTTGATGTTCTAAACCAAACAAAAACATATCCTTATTCCACGAAAGCTGAAACATCCTGACTGCCATGGGAAGGTCTGTCCTGAAAGCATTATTTCTTCAATATACTCTACAGTCTCACTCATCCCAGGTACCATTCAGAAGAGCACAAATAGCAGCATTTGGAGAGTGATGGATTCTAAGGCTGACCTCGTCTACTTGCCCTGAAAATCTGTGTTTACCGTGCTTGTAGCTGAGGCCGTACACAAAGCAAGAAACAGATTTTAAGCGTCAGTTTAACAAAACTTATGCAGAGAAAAAGAAAAAGGGGGGGAAAAAGCCTTCACTGCAGAGTATGGAGGACTGTGGTGAGTCATCCCTACAAAGGCAGCGATGCAGGCTGTGGCTGTGTACCTATCTAGTGTGTGTACATGTATACACACACACGTGCACAAACGCAGAATCATCATCGCTGAAAAATGTAACTGTCAATACAGTTCCTTGTTTCATTCCAAATAAAATGGCTGAATTAACACATTTACCACTGTGGCTCATAAATTTAGGCTGACTAATCTGCAAGTCCGTCTATACTTTTTCTAGTGAGGTCTCTTTCATTTACCTTGCGTGGAAGTAAGCAGGCTTTAATACCCCAAGTGAGCAAAGAGCACGCAACTTCCCACACGCTAAGAAGCTGTCCATCTTCATGTCATATCGTGCGTTATCAGAACATGCTATGGAAGTCTTTCCTGATATAAAGAAAACTCTCATAAAACACAAATCAGAACAATTATTGTAATTATGGAATTCTTCTGGCAATTTCCAGTTGGAAGCTATGTATAACACTTCCCAATGTCAGACACTACTTTTTTCCATCTGATACAGATTTAAAATGCATAGTATATACATATATAGCAGTATCCATCCAATCTTTAAGAGTGGTCTGTTTTATACTCCAGTCAATATATCCTATAATTATATTGATTCTCTATTAAAGAATGCATTACATCCTGAGGGACTAATTATAATGAGAAGTGGAAAAATTTCATTTTAAGGAAAGGCTTCCTTTCAATTTTTACAAAAACAGAAATAGAAGAAGCATCACAAACACTCCAGAGTAAAAATCCAACACACAAAAAACATTCTGTGTCCTTCTATGTTCTCTCTTGCCAAACAGACAAAACCCCAGCAAAACTCCTCCCAATAACTTTACATATGACACTTCTGTATCAGGATGTAATCCATACGTTGAGATTATGGGAGAATGAAATGGATCCACTGAACAACTTTTTCTTCAGAGTGGTCCAACTTAACTATTACTTTTGTCCACAGGTAATCTAAGATGTGCTGGGTCACCATTCATACCAAGTTGCTACAAGTCTTGATTCAAAGCACCCATACACACCTAAACTGACCCTTATGCTGTAGGATTCCAGCACATGGAGAAATGGACCCATGACTTATTTTTAAATACTTCTACTGCTATCTCTCCCATAAAAGATCACCAGGGCCTTTACAGTGTAGTAGCTTGCCTGTTTTGCTAAAACCATAACCAATGTGCTCTACACCCTCTTTTTGATTATGAAGTCAGACTGACGTTCTACTTAGTATCTAACTGTGGCTTTCAGTGATTGTGTAATGTAAAATAAACTGGATTCCATCTCCTTTAATAAAACATCACGTTTTGGTAGCATATTAAATAACCAGGAACAACCTGCCAGCCCCTTTACAGCAGATGGAACTTGTACATGCCAATTCAGAAACTTTGGGGGGGTTTGACATGCCTCCAGGAGGGGCACAACGCTAAAGGATTGTCCCAGGCAGTTGTGGTTAATGTGAGCATGTGAAGTATCAAACTTGTAATGTTTTTCACAGAATATTTTTGAAATCACCACAGATGCATTTGTTGTTGCTTTAGATAGTAAGACAGCACTGCAACTCTGACACATGAATGGTAGCTGTTAAAAGTAAACACCCCATCTTGGTAAATTGCACTAAAACTCCTAAGCGCAAATTAATTTTATGCAGTGTAGACTGGACAAGACACAGAGACAGAAAAAAGCGGCGCAGGGCCACTGGAAGGAAGAGCTCAGATTAGTCAACAGCCACTTAGGTGAGTGAGCAGGCTTCTGGAGCACAGCTTCAGAGCCAGGCTTTGTGCAAGAAGCAGGCTGCTCCTACCCCTCCTGTCCACAGTGAGATGGCAGAGCAGCCCATCAGAACTGGTCCCCTGAAACTCTGCTTCTCCTGGAGGAATGAGTTGGACTTTCAGGGTGTCTCCAGAACAGGGAGAAGCCCGCTGGCAGTTCAGATAGTTTGTTTTTCCTTTCTTGCACTTTGTGTGCCTTGTAACAACCTCCAAAGGGGCCAACTGGTGCTGTATTGACTGGAGGATTTGCTCTCCCACCGGGATCTGTGCAGACAGGCCTGGGTTGAAACGACTGAAAATGAGAGGCACGGGCCTGCCACCCCACTGAGGTGAACTTCAAGAGGCCCACCCGCCTGGCCTGCGACAGCACCGGAAAGGTAAGTAAGCTAACCCAACAACATCAAACATGCTCTCTCCTGGCTGCTTGCATCATCTTAAGGAAAGGACACACCTTAAGTGAGCGCCAAGGCTGCCATGTAACAAGACAGTAACGCATCAGTGGGCAGACATTGAAGTTAGAATCCATGCAGTAGCACCAGGAATTGGGCTGAACCCCGCTTTTAAAATTACCCAGGTTTTTGCCAAGAGGATCTACGTTAGCTGGCCATAAATGCTTCAGTACCCCCCGCAGACCAGCATCCGTGAGCTTAGCTTCCACCTCAGTTCTCGATGGAAAGGCCAGTTCTGTGAAGGAACTCTGAGCTGCAGCAGCTCCTGCAGGCAGCACTGTGGGCACCACAAGTTGCAGGGTCGTTTTCAGAATTTTCCTGTTTTAAATATTTAGGCTCCCATACTCTTTTTTTTTTTCCTTTTTTAAATACCAGCCTATATTGAGGCAAGTCTCTGATATAAACTATGCAATATATCACAGGAGGACATGATAGCCAATATATAATCCTACTGGCTACAAAATATTAAAGGCTTAGAACTTCAAAGTATGTCAGACACACAACAGAGAGCAAAACACTGACTGCTCTCCCACTGTTCGCTTAAGAACAGGATATGGTCGGTACTCATGTCAGAAAGCAAAGCCAAATGTTTAAACAGTTCAATTCAAAATCACATTCTTTCTCTAAACAATTCCGATCCAAGACCAGCTTCAGCTAAACATCTTCGTTAGCTGTCTCTGAACAGAAAGAATCCTAGCAAAGCAAAACAACCCTTTGAAAGACAGAAAACCACCAGTGAGTTACTGTACGTATTACATGCATAGCATCAGAAGACAGACACCATAAAAACAACAGGTTTCACTTTTAACTGTAAACAGGTATAATACAGTATTGTTTTCTGAGCAAAACAACACAAACATTACTTATCACTTAGGAACAATTGCACACAGCATACTTCAGCACTCAGAAACTAAATTTCAGTTATTTTGTAGCTATTGCTGACAAATATTGCCTTTACAAAACCTTCAGCTGCGCAAGATAGTATACAACTGAATGCATAAGAAACGCAGACATGTGGGCTTTGTTATTCTCCCCCACGTCTCATTCTTAACAGATGTTGGCGCTTCTCATCTACATCCTGAGGACAACGCGCTTCCAGTCATTCTGGCCCGCTGAAAAGGAAAGATACTAACCCATATGGCCTCCCTCTCCTCATTAACACATGGTAAGCATTTACTTAGCTTTTCACCATTTTGAGATCAGACTTCAGGGCTTCTTAAGAGTCCAGTTTGGTAGACTATCAGATTAACAAAAAAACCAAAATAAGGTGCTCAAGACTATGCTGACTGAGAAATGACCAGATCCCACATAGATTTTCTGAAATTATTAAAATTATAAAATAAAACCTAGGTGTTTTTTTTCTTCCACTTTGCAAATGTCTGAGGCCAAATAATTCCCTTATTTTGTGATCTGAGTTAATGAAGTCTTAGGCTTTTTCCTGTGAAACTTTACAATGTAATTTCTCCAAAATTAGTTCAGTGCTTAAAGAGTATGTAAAAAGGTTCCTACTTCTTTCTATTAGATTTCCCAGGACCACAGGCACCACATTGTACAGTTTTAAATTAAAACAGCAGCCAGCAGTGATTGTTCTTTCAGTGTCATTTTAAGGGAATTATTTCAATCTCAGTACTGAACAAGTTTTAAAAGGCAATGGTTTCATTATTTCTGTGTACTTTGATAACTGATGGAAGCGCATCCAATGTTCTATCGTGCTGTCACCATCCAAAGTCCCAGTGCAACATTGGCAGCCAAAAGCGCGCTACCAGCAAGCAAAATTAAAAAGCCAACAAGCTCTCTGTTTTGTTTTTCTACAATCAGGGAGCTCAGAGTGGCTTCCAGGAATGAATTTAATATCCACTGACCATCCAAAGCGAAGCATGGTACAGCATTGATAACTGCCAGTGCTCCTGATAGTGAAATTAGGTACCTGGTTGGCATTAGTTAAGGTTCATGAATAATATCCAAGGAAATGTAAAAAAACCCCAACAACAAAAACCCACCCCAAAATCTTTTTTGTTTCTAGTATGCAGAGAGAAACACGAGGGTTATTTTTTATCTGCCATTCTGTTTCACAGAAATTATAAGCACAGAAGTTTTACGCTGTAACATACCAGCTCAGAGAACTGCCTTTAGAGATTCACTTGTTTTTAAGCATCAGGTTTGGATACTTAAACAAACTGCACTCTTCACACTCGGATGAAAGCAGGAGAGAACAAAACCACTCTTAATACTGCTCATCTTCCTCCCTTGCTGTGTGTGGTTTTGAAGGAAGGTTATAGCTCTGACACCATGCCTGAAATAAGAAGGTATTCTAGACCTATGACCTAAGTATGAAATAATGATTAGGAATATTTTCCGAAACACTCCCTCGCCGGAGTAAATAAGTGGCTGGAATATGATTGGAAATCTCTCCTACTTACCTGTCAGCCAGAAAAGTTGAGTGGATTTCTGTACATGCGTGTGCATGTGAGAATGAGGCAAGGCTAGATCATTTTTATTGTTGGTAAAGGCTTGCTAACTTTGATACCTACTCTGACATCTCCATCCTACAATGGCTGGACAAGAAGACATGTGACTCAGAAAGCAGCTGGGTCAGCATGAACCTTGGTGTGTTACCAGAAAAGAGGAGCTTATGTAGCATCTTTACTCCAGTTTCATGGGCTACGCTGAACAACACTGGTTAATTGTTCTACAGACACATATAAACATCTCAGTTTCTAAGGCTAAGGGTTCTTGGATTAGCTGTATTCAAGCCTACTAACCTTTATGTATGCATATACATAATCTCATTCATTAATATGCATATTTTAACTGAATTATCACCCTGTTTTTTTGAATAGGCTAAATTTTCTTTTCTGTTGAATTAAAAAAGAAAAAGAACAACCATACTCTGTTATTTAGTTCAGTGTAATGACTCAAAAATGATAAAACACTGACATATCAAAGCTAGCAATACCATCTCATTTGTCCTGCCATAAATTCAGGCTTACTTTGACTTTCTTGTCAGAGCTGTTAAGACTCACGCTCAAGAAAGAGTTAATAAAAGCACCGACCCAAAATATCCCGCTAAGCACAAGAAAGCAAAATATTTCATTTTGAGCTTGGCACATGGATAATAATCAATGCAGAGATGGGATAAAGATGTCAAAACTCTACAGAAATGTTTTAGAGCATCCTGTCTAAAATTATATCCAAGTGAAAATTTGCTGGGTCACCAAATTCTAAACAGTTCCCTTCTTGCCTTAAAAGAACAAACATACTTCAAAGGATACTTGCAAAATGTCTCTATTACCACAGGCAGATCGATGCTTAGAAAGTTATGTCGTGGTACAAAACTGCTGAGGCTTACTGAAATGAAAACATAAAGATACACAAAACATGAGCAGTAATTCCAGGATTATAACATTATTAATTTTAGATTACAATTTTGCAGAAAAATCAGATTCAAAATGGCATTTCTTCAAGGATGAATAGCCAATGTAAATACAGTTTTGCTTGGGCTTTGTTTTTAAAAGAGAGCAGCCGTTGAATCTTTCTTTACATCTTTCTTAAACATTGTCACTATCATAGCAAAGTCACTCCACAAAACACAATTAGCATGATTTCAGTAAAAGTAGATCTAAGATATATATTTTCAGGGGCAACTGGACATCTGTAGTGATAAAGACCACATTGTGTAATTTAAGTCCTTTTCAAAGAAACACGTATAAGAAGAGATTACAGTTACCAGACTTTTTCAACATATGCAGTCCACATGTACACATTCATACTGAGGGTGCACATGTGTACTTTCTCTGAAGGCCAGAAAATTCTTCTCTTACAGTACCTGCCAAAGATGCCCCCAACCTGAGGCTGAGCTCATGGTGTACAGGAGCAGAGTTCTGGAGTCACTCTGAGAAAGGTGATGCAAAGGTGCATTACACCACTTAACCCCAGTTAGCCAGTACATAAGTAGCTTCTTTTGCCGTCTTCAGATGACACCATAAGTAACTCGAAGATGTAACAATAAAACTTAAAAACCTGGGAGGTAGGACTCGGTGTTCTTCCTATCAAGAGCGACTGGAAATTGCCGTGCCAAGCACCACATGACCTTGAAACACTGCTTTAGTACTGTTAACTTCTTTGAAGGTTCAGCTGACTGCATGGCAAATGTTTATGAGAGACTCCTCAAAGAAAACTGAGGTAGCTCGAGACCTCCCAGAGTCCATTCTGCTAGTTCAGGGATGCTTCATCTGGGCTGTCTCATAAAAAGTCTTGATGCTGTCTTTCAAAGCAAGCAGTAGTCTCAGTCTGCAAGCCTCAGGGACCATTTGAATGCCTTGGTTCTGTGACAGCTGGAAGAGAGACACCTTTCCTACTAGAAGGGTCCACTCACAGCATAACAGTTTTATTGCCAGAAAAAGGAGGTTTAAGTTAATTAAGAAATTCGAATTAGAAAATAACCTTAAAAATGCACTTGCATGGCATCAACAACAGTCACTCTGTCACTAAAGAACGACTTCGGATGTGAGCTGAGGGCAGCCACAATGGCCAGAATTTTCTCTACCAACCTGGGAAAAAGTTATAGCTGTAAGAAACACCACCTCCACAGAGACGTGTGACAGCAAGAGTTCAAATCCCACTCAATACAAACATTCCTTGGGAAAGGAACAATTCAACCCACCCTTTGGGATATGTTGAAACCATAGGCTAAGAGAACACTGGAAACCTCACAGCACTAGTAGAGAACATACCAAAAGTGCTCCTAAGTCTATCTTAGGAGCAAGATCAGATTTCTTCATGTTCAAAAAACAATTTAAGGACACCAGAACAAAGATGAGGGGGAAAGTAGTTCCAAAGGCACGTGAGGCAGAGAACTGCTCCGCTCAGTCACATAAACACATTTTCTTCTGTTAACAGAGGCCCCTCTGACGAGTCAGAAGCAATAATTAGTTCAAGCAGCAAGCATACCATAAGATGGAAAGACCTGGATAGTAAGGAGTCCCAAAAAAAGAGTGGGTTTGGTGTGGCAATAACCAGAGAACTTTCCAGTACCAAAATTGCTGTAGCTGTGCCAAGACAGCTTAAAAATCATGTTCTCTCTTACCCTACCTTAAGAAAGACCTTTGATTTAGGGGAACTGAGGGAAAATAAAAAAGTCTGTTGAACTATTGAGTGAAGCACATAACAGACAGAAATCCTGGACACCACCCAGCTCAGAAAGTCAGAGGCATCCAAGTCAAGTGATATCCAAAGCAAACAACTCATCAAGCTGAAGGCTGGTATCGGAACATCTGATCAGACCTCTTGTTCATGAGCGAAAACTGCAAAATGGCTCAGGCAGACAGTGTATTCATAAAGATTTCTAAAGACACACACGGCAATATACTGTAATTTCAGTTGCCATCCTGAACCTGAAGCTGTGCCTACATTAAGAATGGATCACTTATCTCCTTCCCTCTTTGTTACAACAGTCTGTTGTCCCTGACAGCCTCTAGGCATGGATCTAAACTCCAAACCTTGTTGCTGAATCAATCTCCAAAACACAAAGGAAGTCTTCAGGAAGTTGCTGGGCTGAGCTCTAGACACTGTAATATGAAGCAATGAATCTAGTGGGTGTAACGGATCAAACCTAATGACAGCAGGCAAATCAGTCCTTCAGGGAATAAGAAAAGAATTACAGAAATTATGTTCTCCACACTTGTCATCAAAAGACACTTCTGGGAAGAGGTGAACAGCAAGGAGGCTGGGTGAGACAAAACAGTAAGTGTTTTCCCACTCTAATTAAACAATTCTTTGACCTGGAATTAACATTTCTTTTGTTGGCTAATGCTAGATGGTGTTGGCAAACATTGAGAAGAATGCACAACAGACACAATTTTTATTAGAAGTGATTTGGAGACTCGGTTGATCAAAGAGGTTCTCAAAACCTCTTCACAGGGGGGGTGGGGGGAAGAGGGGTGGGGCAGGGGCAGGGAGGGCAAAGCATGTGTGCTGTGGAGGAGAGAGGCAGTATGGCATGAGATATTTCTGTGTGGTCTCCAGAAGAACTGTACATGTAACCCTTTAAATATGAGTTGAAAGAAAATAAGGATCATCCTCAGCAATAAGGCGAAACAAGCATGGAAATACTGAGAAACCAAAGAGATAGACCTTCATCAGGGATTATGGCTGTTGTTACCCAAAAAAATCACCAAAGCTAGAAGTGGCTTTTTTTTTTTTTT